CCTCCAGATCCACTGCCACGAGAGATATTACGTGATGGCGCTTACACGGCTGACCTTAGCGTGTTGATACGCACCAAGAAGGATTTCTGGCAGAACGTTTGGACGGAGTCACATGACACGCGCGAGCAGTTGCTTTGGACCTTGGAAGGCATCGCTCGCGATGCTCGGGACAACCCTCTTCCTCCACTTAATGAAGGTCAGGTGGGATCTGTTTTTCGCAGACAGGCCCCCAACAAAGCCAGAGGAGTTGACGGACTGGGGCCAGTTGACCTTCAGCGCATGCCCCCTGCAGGATTGACGGAACTTACTTGTATCTTGAATCAAGTGGAGCTGGACCAGGCGTGGCCGACTTCTCTATTGGCAACGATATGTGCGGTCATTCCCAATCCTGCAGGGGGATCGCGCGTCTTGGGGATGTTGTCTCAGTGTTGCAAAACGTGGAGTCAGGCCAGGAGTTCGATCACGTCTCAATGGTCAGATGGGCTCTCCGCTTTCTGGGACACTGCCATACGAGGCAGCAGCGCGCTGCGCGCTGCGATGCTGCGCAGCCTGATGGACGAGGCGTCAGCAACATTTAGAGTTTCTTCTGCCACGGTGTTGCTAGACATCGCCAAGTTCTACGACTCGATCTCGTTCACACTGTTGATTGTGGCAGCCCGTGGCCTCGATTTCCCGCCAACGGTTGTGCTGATGGAGGTTCTGCTGTTCATGTCGCCGCGCATCCTCAAGGAGGGCTCGGTCATCAGTGAGCCGTTCTGCCCAGGAAGGTCGATCGTCGCAGGCTCGTCGCATGGTGTGTGTCTTGGAAAAGTATTCTTACACTCTGTGCTGGATGCAGCACACAGGCGAGCCCCCCCAGGCCTCCTTGTGGACTTTCGTTGGCGACACTGTGGGGCGTTCAGAAGGCACTCCTGAGACTGTCATTTCTGAGATGCACGGCCTGGCGGATGCGTTCTCGGAAGGTTTCAGAGCTAAACGGTTGACGGTCTCGGGCAAAACGGTGGTCTTGGCGTCGTCTCCTGATCTAGGCAAGCACGCTGTTCGGATTTTCAGAGCCCGAGGGATGCCCGCCAAGTATGCTCCCACTGGTGTCGATTTAGGCGTTGACACCGCGGCTGGTCGATTCAGAACTCGTAAGAAAGCTAGGCAAAGGATGACCAAGGCCAGCGGTAGGTTTTCTCGCATTTTAAAGATGAGGCGGCTGGCAGGCTTGCGGAAAGTCACTCAAGGCGCTTGGCGCACGGGTGCCTTGCCTCAGGCCAGATACGGTCACCAAGTGATGGGCATGCCACCGAGTCAGGTCCTCCTTTTAAGGCGACAAGCTGCTCGCACGGTCTCTGGCAACAGCAAAGGTAAGTGTTTAACCACCGTGCTGCAGGCAGTGCTTGGAGACGGCGACCCAGCCTTGGAGGTCAGGCGCCAACTCGTTGACTCGTGGCTTCAGCTCTGGAAACGATTTCCAGCTCTCCAGCCTCGCATCCGCCGTTCCTGGGGGTTGGTCAGGGCGCAGCTCGACAAACTGGGTCCTCGGCGCTGGCGAGGGATACGTGGTCCCATAGCCGCTGTCCAGGCCACGCTGCTTGACGCTGGCTGGGAGCCCCGAGAGCCAGACCTCTGGGAACGGCCGTCTCATTCGAATCACGCTTGGAGATTTCCGAGGCCAGGCGCTCCCCACTTTGAATTGTTGGCTCTCACTGACCACACAGATTTGCTTTACGAGTTTGTTTCCGATTTAAGAGCAGGCCTTTGGCAGGGCGCTGCGAAGCACGAAGGAGGCACTTCGCTTAGTGTAGGAGCCGATCTCCTCCCCCTTTCTCAGGAACTCCGTCGGTTTGAGTCTCAGGGCCAAGCCGACCTCTGGGGCCTCACTTTGTGCGTGGCCTCTGGAGGCCAGTGGCCACGGCAGCGCCAAGCTGACAGTGGCTACACGGTTGATGTAACTTGCCCAAGGTGCAAGAAGGCTCCTGAGACTTTGTTTCACCGAATATGGCAGTGCGAATGCAATGTTGATCACCCAGACTTTGACAGCACTCAGGCCTTGTGCACTCAGGCGGCTGTACAGTGGGAGGCCGATCCTTCGTTGTGGCTGAGAGGCGTGCCAGCGAGAGATCTCACCTGCCCCCGCTTCCTTGACCCCCTCGAGCCTCCTCCGAACACGTACCATGGCACCTCTCGGCTGTCTGAGGCCTGCGTCCAGCCTGGCCAGGACCCACCCTATCTTTTTGGGGATGGATCTGGGGGTAAGTACAGTAACGATCCCCGCAGGCGGCGCTGTGGTTCAGGAGTTGCTCTGATCAGTCTTGCTTCAGATGGCTCTTGGGAGCTTGTTTGCGGGGCCTCTGCCCCCCTCCTTGGGCCGCGGCAGACTGTGCCGCGAGCGGAGATAGCTGCGCTCGCCATTGCCTTGGAGGACACCACGGGGCCCATCATATATGTAACTGATTGCCAACCAGTTCTCGATGGATGGCGTGCAGGTCGAGCCCACGGCAAGCTAGGCCCAAATCAGGATTTGTGGTACAGGGTGGCGGTGGCGCTTCGTAGCAGGGGTGAGGCTGAAGTGCAGATCGTGTGGACGGCCGCCCATCTTGAGGATACGGGCAGGGTGCTCACTGATTGGCAAACTTTCCTTACCTCGGGCAATATGCGCGCTGACGATTTTGCAGGTAAGGCCGCGGAGCAAGGCCTGCTGTTGTACACTCAGCAGCCTGTGCCCAAGACTGATATGTATGATTGTATAGCCCATTTTGTGAGACGCCGAGCCAGGCGCGCGTTGGTTTCAGCCCTGCAAGTCGATCCTTGGCAGGCGACCAGGTTGGGCAAGCAGCGTGTGCCTCCTCCCTCCCAGCAGACTCGTGCTCCCACTGGCACCTCGCACGACTGCGAGCAGTATGGGTCGAAGTGGAGGTGCAGGCGATGCTGTCAGGTCGTTCCGTCCTCACAGCTGCTCAGATTTTGCGCCTTGTCCTGCCCTGGTCTGTCCCCAGCCGAAGAGTCGGTCGCCTCGCGGTGGTCGAAGTTCGTTCGTCGGCGAGGGGAGGTCTGGATTGGCACAACCCTTGCGCACAGCACCCACCTTATTCATCTCTGGCCTGAATTGTCCCTGCATTTCTGTTCACAGTGCGGCATCATGACTGCCACGATCGATGGCAGGTGGCTTGCGCGTAAATGCACGGCCCCCACCCCCAAAGGAGCTCAAAACCATACTCGTTTAAGTGAAGGTTTGTTTCCCTCGCACAAAGGGCACCCGCGTTTCATCCAGCAGATCCGCGCTGGGAAAGCGGCCGAGGAGGCCAACAGTGCGAGGAGAGCTCGGGGGGAGGAAGAGGCCAGTCAAGGTGGGGGCGGAGTGGGTGGAGCGTCGTCGTCGGACGGGGATGGGGGCGAAGGGAGTGGGCGGCGCGCCGCGCGCGCTCTCTCGCGCGCGCCGCCCCCGCCCACGGCGCCGTCGACGCCGACTGCTACAGGCAGGCGGGCGCGCCGCCCAACCGTCCTTCCTCACCGCGGGGGCTCTTCTTCGGATTAGCCCCCGCCCAACTCGCTTTGTCTTGCACGGGCTTTGTCCCTTCATGGTTACTTCTGGTTGCTCCTCCCCCTCCTCCTCATTCCCCTCGTTCAATTCACTGCCGTCCTTTCATGTCGTCTTTCGGTGGAGTGGTGATGAAGCGGAGAGGGGTAGAAAAAGAGAAGGATTATCAGGACGAGCTCTCAGATGACGATGATGATGAGAGAGGTGTTGGTAAACGATAATGGCGACGACGACGACGACTGATGCTGCTGTCGATGATGATGGTGATGATGGTGATGCTGTTGTGATGATGATGCTGGTGATGATGATGAAGCCGCCACCGACGACTACGACGATGATGACGACGACGATGATGATGACGATTACGGTGATGATGATGGTGATGATGATGTTGGTGGTGGGGGTGATGAGGATGATGATTACGATGCGGATGCTGATGATGATAATGTCGACGTTGATGATGATGGTGATGATGGTGATGGTGATGGTGATGTTACTGGTGAGGATATGATGGTGACGATTGTGATGTTGACGGTGGTGATGCTGATGGGGGGATTTTTATGATGTTGATGATGACGAGTGTGATGAGGATGAAGAGGAGGATGTGGATGACGATAATGCGAATGATGATGATGACTCTGATGATGGTGGTGGTGTTGATGACGATGGTGATGACGAGGATGCTGACTATGATGATGGCAGGGATTATGATGAGTATGATGATGATGGGGAGGATGACGATGAACATGAGGATGAGGATGATGGTGGCGATGATGGTGGTGGTGGTGATGATGATGCTGTTGATGAGGTTGATCATGCCGAGGCTAAGGATAGTGCTGCTGATGATGATGATGACGACGATGACGACGACGATGCTGATGATGATGATGATGATGATGATGATGATATTGATGATGCTGATGCTGATGACCACGAGGACCAGGAGGACCTTGAGGACCATGAGGACCATCTCGTTTGTGATGATGGCGATGGCGATGACCAGAGGACGTGGGGAAGAGGTGGTGGAAGATGACATGAAAGTAGGAGTGAGGAGGAGGGGGCGGTGGAGAAGGGAGAGAAGGCAGGTAGTCGACCAAGCTGGGGTCGTCTTGGTCGTCGAGCTTTCTTGAGGCCCAGAGACTTTGCACCGCGCTGGCCCCAGGTGGTGGGGGGGACAAGGTAGGCAGTGGAGGGGCGGTGTAAGAGGGAGGAGAGGAAAGAGGGAGGGAGGAAGAGGGAGGGAGGTGGAGGATTTCCAATTGTTCGGGAGGCTTTCGGATGTCATGACGAGGTTTGCGGTTGTTTCCGAACGTTTAAGAAGGTTCCCGGACCGCCCCCTTTCACCCTCTCTGTTGCCAGTTTTGTTTCCCAGGAAGAGGGGGCAGGGGTGGTTTGGAAACCTTCACGAATTGAAAAATCAATTTGCTGGAGGTCTGGGCCTGCGTCTCCTTGCCCCCACGGGGGATGACCGCAGGCCGCGGGTGACTTCACCATGGTGCGGAGGTTGCGCGCGTCTCTGCGGAAAAACGCGGCCTGGTGCCGGGAGAGGCAGGACAATGCAGAATGGAAGGGGAAAGGGAGTTGGCGTGGTAGCGGCTTCAGGGGGAGAGGATGAGGGGATATGACAGAGTTTCCAACAGAAACGCCGCGAGCTATCTCGCACCTTCTTCCCACCCGCCCTTGCAGGCAGTGGCCGCCATCCGGCACAGGCAGTGACCGCCTTCCGATGGACGGTCACAATGGACCCATTCAGACGCTAGGTACGCCAAGCTGGCGAGGTGCGCCAAGCGCGCGAGGTGCGCCACGCGCACCTAGTAGGTACGCCACGTGCACGGGGTGCTCAAGCGTGCCAGGCGCGCCTGGTATGCCGCCTCCGCGTGCGCTGAGTGCGTCACGTGCTGGTCAACATGCCACCACCCCCGCAAGCGTTGACACAACCCATGTTGATTGGTACCAACATGGTGTACAGCGTGTGCAGCCGCAGTCGTGTGCCCGCGACATGCTTCGGTGTTTGCCGCAGGGTGCATGTTGAGTTAGGTTTTCACAGGGAATGGTGAGGGGCTCATTGTTCTGGGCTGGCGGCCGCTCGAGTTGGGGACGGTGTAGGTGCCTCGCCGCGGGCTCTTGTCTTGTCTTGTCTTGTCTTGTCTTGTCTTGTCTTGTCTTGTCTTGTCTTGTCTTGTCTTGTCTTGTCTTGTCTTGTCTTGTCTTGTCTTGTCTTGTCTTGTCTTGTGTGTGTGTGTCAACAGTGAGCAGCGAGGAGGGGGAATGGGCAGGTGGAAGCGGTAGCATGCGGAGGGGGGGAGGGATTTTGGAAGGGAGTCGCTCCGTGCGAGCCTGGCACGGGACGAAGGCCCGAGGGAAACCCCTCCCTGCAGGCCCGTACCAGTCTCTATCACATCATATTCCTCCATATTGGTGGGCCTTATGGTTGAGACCACACCCAACATCGGGAGTCACCACTGGCGGAAGGGTGACCCCGAACCTTCTTGTTTCCATGACGCTCATACTGAGACCACCATACAGGCTCACCAGTTCCTCCACTTAGCCTTGCCGTTTTGGCTCAAGGGCCGCGGGGCTCTGGACTTGCGAGCCTCGTGCGAGGCGTCCCGGGCCGAGGCCCCAAGGCTGGTGGGGTCGGTGCCCAGCCGCGTGCCTGGTCGCACTTGTCGCTGGCCTACTCTGCAACGTCATGGCTTCCTCTCGTTTCTTGTCCCCGGGCCCACGGCCTCTGCCCAGTGCGGGTAGGCGAGGGGCTGGTGGTGGCGATAAGGCTGGGGGGGGGAGCAGCGTTCCGCTCGATTGGCGCAGGAGGCGTCTGGAGCCGCTTCAGGACGGTGTCTCCAGCGGTGCCGCTCTCGTTCTCGAAGAGGACGGTTCTGTTGCAACTCTCTGGCCAGTTACGCCTTCAATGACGGAGTGACTGTGCCGAGCCCGTCACAGAGCAAACGTCGAGCGCTTGCTTAGGAGAGCTGTTGTCTTGCACCACCACTGCGCCAGCTGCGCCTTCAATAACGGAGTGATTGAGCGACGTAGCCAGAGAGTCCGCTACCGAATGGGACTATGTCGCTTGCTTTTCGAATGGGCCTTTTTTTGTTGCACCGCCATTCTGCCAGCTGCACCTTAAATGAGTGAGTGGCTGAGTAGAGTAGCCAAGGAGTCGGCTATCTACTGGAATGTGGGCGTCTGCTCGCAGGTGCGCTGTCCTGTTGCAGCATCATTTGGCCAGCTGTGAAAATCCGGGCGCCCGCTCCCCGATGAGGATCATTCGGCCAGCTGCGACTTCAACAACGAGTGACTGGGCCCAGTGGCCAAGGAGTCCGATATCGAGTGGACATCTTGCGCCCTCTTCTCGACTAGGAGCTGTGGTCTTGCACCACCATTTGGACGGCTGCGCCCTCAGTGAAGGAGTGCCTTGGGTCGGGCAGCCAAGGAGCCCGCTGCGGAGCGGAAAGCGGGCGCCTGTTTAGAGGAGCTAGCGTTAAGTCGGGCTTGTTTTTCTACAAAGGGGAAATTCAGAAATAGTGAAAAATAGTCGGGGGCTATTTTTTATTATATGAACATTCTGGAGTAGTGTTTGGACATTTTTTCTTTTTCATCCAACATCCCCCTGTAGGGGGACAGGCCCGACTCAAAGCTAGCGTGGTGCACCACCATTTGGCCAGTTGCGCCTCCAATGGGTGAGCGACTGAGTTTCGCAGCCAAGAGATCCTCTACCGAGCGGATGCCTGGCGCCTGCTTCTTTCTGATGCCTGGTGCCTGGATGTCTGGCCAGCTGCGCCTTCACTGCCTGAGTGACTGGGCCGAGTGGCCAAGAAGCCCGCTATCGTTTGGCAATTGGGCGCTTACTTGCCGAAGAGGATCCGTTTTGTTGCGCCGCCACGTGGCCAGCTGCATCTTCAGTGACTGAATGAAGTAGCCAGGGAGTCCGCTACCGAGCTGAAATCTGGCGCCTTCTCTTCATTGATTAAGGGCCGTCCTGTTGCACTACCATTTTTACAGCTGCGCTTTCAATGACGGGGTGACTGGGTCGGGTAACCAAGGTTGTTCGCTACCGAATGGAAGCTTGGCGCCTGCTGCTCGAAGAGGAACTGTAGTGTTGTGCCGCCACGTGGCCGGCTGCGCTTTCAATGACGAAGTGACCAGGACGAGTATCCAAGTGGTCCATTACGGCGTGGAAATTTGGAGCGGAGGTGTTACGTCCACCCTGGATAGTTAGGACGAATTCCTCATGGCCCGGGGGAGTACTGCGAACGTGAAATGTATACCTTGCGCGGACGTTCTCTCTGGTTCCTCTCGGCGCACCAGGGGCGAGAATCGGCCGGGGAGGGATTCGAATGGGCGCAAGCGCTGATGTGGGGGAATAGAGCAGCACAGCAAGCGCATTAGGTCGGACCGACATGGGCGGCATGTCAAGCAGCAGCCAAAGCAGGGGAGATATTTGGATGTTGGGGCATTCGCGCACTTATTCAAGCCGCTGGCGTGCATAGCTCGGGATTTGGCGTAGTACAGTCAACCCACAGAGTAAGGATGCGCGATAATGATGCAAGGCCCTTGGAAGCCCATTTCGAAGCTCTTCGAGTGGGGCGCGGCCCACGAACGTGGCGAAGGATGGATCCAGGAGGCAAGGATGCAAGGGTACCCGTGGGAGGGATGCCCATCCTTTCTCTGCGGGTCGACTGTAGCCGTTTGAGCCGAAATGACCACAGCACCATACCCAGCAGTGAATTATGAATTGAGACCTCTTCCCCGAGGCCGCGAAAATCATTTCCTTCTGTCCTTCCCTCCTTCCCGCCCATCCTTTCCGCTCCTCCTCCTCATGTCCCCCAGTCCGCCGCCCTCTTCTGCGAACAGTGGCGGCTCTGTGATGCAGTTAGCTTGTCAATATGTTTTCACCTATGTGTTGGGTCATTGGCTTATCTGGCAATGGCAGATACCCGAATACTAGCCAACGGGATACGGCTCACCTGTTCAGTTGCCAGTGGATATTTGATATTTGTAATCGATCAGCAATTTCTGGCGCAGATGATCCTGGAGTTTGGAGAACGGCCACTAGTTACCGATTAACCGAGGCGTTCACGCGCATCGTGGGCAGCGGCTGTCAAAGATGTGATGCGGACGGTCAATTCAGAAAAATACACAGTCGCGCGGGGGCACCGTTGTGCAGGCCTTGCTAGACAGTTGCAACATGTTTCGGACGCCAGTGTCGTGAAGCAAGTCCCTGAGTAAAACCATGAACAATGTTTGTGACGAGAGGCTGCCAACAAAATACCCGCCCAGTATTGTCATCCTGATTGTACGCAGTTTCTTCGCAACGTAATGCACGTGCCCCCCGAGCCGCGAGAGATCGCCGATCAAGATGACGCGCGGAAGCGCTTTCCGGCTAGATGATGCAGTCGCGATGGTTATGACCTTTGGAGAGGGCAGGCGGTCGTTTCTCAATATTTCGGTCTGCAGCGCTGGACCTCCGCGGAGCGCCCAGCCCCGCAGAGAACCAAATCGGCGTTATGTTACCTGTTGGAGTTGGCCCCCGCGTCGGTGTTGCAGGGAGAGGCCAGAGGTGCGCACAGACGCTCAACGTCGTTCGTTTGACACGTGGCGGGGATAAACTTGGAGGAAATTCAATGCCTTGCCGAATAACGGCGTGAGATAAGCAACAGCGGCCCAGCGAAACAAGGTTGCGCGTGGATGGTAATGTTTTTCCGGTTCAGCCAGTCAATGATTGTATGTTGTTGCGCACGAACAAACATATGATATTGGCATCCAACCGAATCCTGACGGGATGAAGAAAATTCCCACGGGTGCGACGAGGAAAACCAGGGTTTCTTGGCGTCGTGGGCGTTTTTTGGAGGAACAAGATTTGGAGAAATTTGTGGTCTGTGGGATATGTCATTGGTTTTGTGGATAACCTTTGGAGAAAAGGCTCCATGGACCCCTGCGTTGTCAGCCTCTTGGGCACCTCTTCGATCGCTCTGGGAGGCCGCCTGGGCCAACACGGGGGCCTCCTGGGCCGCCCCGGGGCCCTCGTGGGCCATCTTGGGACCCTCTCGGAGGTGTGCTGGGAAAGATTGGGGTCAAGTCGGGCCTGTCCCCCTACAGGGGGAATAATCAAAGATAGTTAAAAATAGTCTGGGGACGATTTTGTAAGTTTTTTTCCACCATTTGGGGGTACGCTTTTGTGTCTTTTCAATGTTCGTGCCCGACCTAAGATCGGGGCCATCTTGCTGGCTTTTGTTGGGCCATCGTGGAGTCTCGGGAGCCCGATGAGGCGGGAACGCCGAAATCTTTGGAAACATCATGGGGAACCACTGATTTTGCACATGGGGGCCCGCTGGTTTTCTCGGGCCCTCCAGGAGCGTTTCGGTGACCTCTTGGGCCGTCTCGATGCCCTCCTGGATCTTCTCGCGACGCTCGCGGGTCGTCTAGAGGCTCTTGCACCGCCTTGGGATTTTCCCGGGGCCTTTTGTGGTCGTCTTGGGATCCCCTGGCTAAGTGTTTTCGTGCTGGCCTCGTCGCGCTGCATAGTTGAAACACTATCATGCGCATTGAACACATATCGGATAGTTACGGGTGTTTGATTGCTGGCGTTGGGTCTGGAAATTCACGTTGTCGCGGACAAGCAAGCGAAACAATAGTTGTCGAACCGGCCGTGGTACAGATGAGGAGACGACATACGTGGTAGTATGCATGCAATGAGGTGGTCTCGACGCCAAAGATGGCAACCGCTACCTGCTTCCAGTCCGACATGAAAGGTAGTCTGCGTTGGAGGCCGGGTGTTTCGGAAGGTCTGTTTTATCGACATGGGCTTGCCGCGCCCATCCCCGTAGTCGGGCGGAGATTGTGCTCTCCTTCCTTCCTTCCCCGTCGCACTCCCTCGTCCCTCGGACTCCTAATGCTTCTTTTTGTCCAGGTCCTCCTCGTTCACATTCCAGCCCATCCGGCTTCTTCCCTGCCATTTCGTCGTTCCTGGCCTTTGTTTCCCGCGTCCCTCTCTGTTCAGTTTGGAGTCCGAATGCATGGCAAGGCACTCGCTCACGTCGGATTCCGTCCTCGTCTTCGCCATGTCACATGTCTGCAGTGCTCGGAGTGGGAGCAGGGACAGACGGGTGGGGTGGCGACGGAGTTAGAGGAGGAGCACCGCTGGGCGGAAGGTGCGCCGGCTACGCTGTACTCAGCGTCCTGCTGCTTATCTGGTTATCTGTTGGCGTGCACCCCCTGCCGCTTGCAGTCTTTGGAGTGAGCCTGCTGCTGCTGCGGCTCCCGCTGCTGCTCCTAAGCTTCTCGCTCCCCTCGTCATCCCCATCGTCCTCCCCCCCCCTCGCATTCCTCCTCATCCTTTTCCACTTTGCCATGTTCTGACTATAATTCTTCATGATTGCCGTCGTTCTGTGGGGGTAAATTTGGTTCAGCCCATGTCCCAAACGTTTTCTGCAGGGGTGCATTCGGTACGTGCTGAGATGGTTGATGATTTCGTGTACGCGCCAGGGTCCTTTCGCACTCCCCGCATCTTGTGCCGAAGACCACGAATAACGTTGGGAACCGTGTGCAGTGGATAGGGAGCAGTGGCCGTCGTTTGGTACTTGTGACCGCCATATCGCCAGTTTAGTGACGTTTGTCACCATCAGTGTCTCAGCTTCGTTGTAATCAGTGGACAACCACTACCAGTAATTAGCAACGGTAGCGCCGCTCTTCCTTGCTATTACGCATTATGACTATTACCCCTGCCGTTTGTTCTTCCCTGCTAGTGCCACTATTGCTTGCCTGGGGACAAGCAGGATTGCATTCAGGTTCAGAATCGTGTTCATTTCACGGCTCACTTACACATGCATGATCGTGGCCATGCGATGTTGTTCTATGCTATGATGTCTGTAGGTAGTGCCGAATATTCGAATTTGGTCGTGTGGCACATGTAGCCGAGTGCGTAATGGAGTTCGTGAGATCTCAGGTCGGCGTCCAGAGTCGTTGTCGAGAACATCGTCCCCAAACAGTGCTTGTAGTTAGTGGTTATTGCTGGTTGCACTTAGTGGTTATTGCGGGACTCATAAGGAACTGGGCCAGGTTACGGGTTCTCAGAAGCCAGGCGAAGGCTGGCAAACCCTTGGCTGCTGAAACGGAGCACCTGGACATTGTTCTTCCGGGAAGACTTTTTTAGCAGCCACGGATTTGCCAGTCCTCGCCTTATGATGTTCCAACCTACTTTAGCCTTGATCGCTAGAAACGGTAAAGTACCGAAATTGGATGGTTTTCATCTGTCGGGCCCTGGGAGGCGAGACTCGTTCGACACTGTTTCGACACCTTTCTGGGCCCTCGAAGTCATTTCTGGGGTGTGGTCCTGAAGTGCGACGAGAGCGACATGACCTTCGCCCAGCTCCCGAGATTCCACGGCCTCGTAGCCGGCGTCGCCGCCCCGTCGCCGCGCGTGGCCGCCCGTCGCCTGGGCCTGGCTGTCGGTTCCGCCGCCCTGAAGCCGCCGCCGCCTCGTCGCTGCCCTGTAGCCGTCCGTCGCTTGGGCCCCGTTGCCGGTTCCGCCGCTGTGCTTCCGCCGTCGCCGCCTCGTCGCCGCCCGTCGCCACACAGCTCACACCACGTAGATTGATTCTTCTATCTAAGAAGAGAATAGACTCTCCCTCCCCACCGGCGTTATCCCCCCCCCCTTTCGGGTAAATCACATATGATTCTGACCATATGTCCATCCTAAATATAATTTACACTATCCCAGTGGAACCAGTATCGACCCCCCTGAGGTTCCCTTTTTAAAAAACGATGCGCGGGGACGTGTTTTGTTCTAACATAACACTTGTTCACGAATCCCTTGCAACAAATATTGACGAAGTGCACACGCGCGCGCCGTCGCGCGCGCATGCCGAAATCCTTCAAAACCTTCGGTGTCGGAAGGATTTCGCAATCGAGTTTCCAAAACACATACAAAACATAGGGTTTCGTAACACTGATTTGCTGAAAAAGCTTGCGCGCGAGCTCTTGCGAATCTTAAGGGAACCATGGGATTATCAAGATTTTCACACAATGCTACCAAACGGCCTTCGCGCGCGCATGTCGTAATCTGTCGAACGCCCTTGCGCGTGTGCCGTCGCGAGAATCCTTTTTGCAACAAATGGAACGAAGTGCAGACGCGCGCGTCGTCGCGCCCGTATGCCGAAATCCTTCAAAACCCATCGGCTTCGGAAGGATTTCAACATCGTGTGTCCAAAAACCCTACAAAAACACAAGGTTTCGCAACACGGATTTTCAACAAAAGCGTGCACGCGCGCTCTTGCGTCGTCGTCGTCGTCGTCGTCGTCGTCGCCGTCCTTCCTCCTCCCGCGTCGTCGTCGTCGTCGTAGCCTACGTCGTCCTCTGTCTTTCTTCGTGTTCGTCGTCGTCGTCTTCGTTGGCGTCGTGGTCGTTTCCGTCGTCGTTGTCGCCGTGGTCGTCCTTCCTCCTCCTCCCTCGTCGTCGTCGTCGTCGTCCGTCGTCGGCGTCTCGTCGTCGTCCTTCGTATTTCGTCGCCGTCGTCGTCGTCGTTGTCGTTGTCGTCGTCGTTTTCCTTCTCCCTCGTCGTTGTCGTCGTCGGCGTCGCCGTCCTTCCTCCTTCTTCGTTGTTCGCGTCGTCGCCGTCCTCCCTCCTCCCTCGTCGTTGTCGTCGTTGTCGTCGTTGTCGCCGTCGTCGTCCTCCCTCCTCCCTCGTCGTCGTCTTCGTTGGCGACGTCGTCGTCGTCTTCGTCGTCGTCGTCGCCGCCGTCGTCGTCGTCGTCGTCGTCGTCGGCGTCGTTGACGTCGTCGTTGTCCTCGGTGTCGTCGTTGTCGTCGTCGTCGGCGTCGTCATCGTCGTCGTCGTTGTCATCGTCGTCGTCGTCGGCGTCGTCGTCGTCGTCGGTGTCGTCGTCGTCGTCGTCGTTGTCGGCGTCGTCGAAGTCGTTGGAGACGTCGTCGGTGTCGTCGTAGTCGTTGTCGGCGGCGTCGTCGTCGTTGTCGGCGTCGTCGTCGGCGTCGCTGTCGTTGCCAAGTGCCATTTGGTACCCACCGTCACGGTCTGAAGAGATTTTGCAAACCACGTTGCGGGTGGGTGGGTGGGATGTTTGCGCGAGCAATGGAGTGGACAACATTTTGCGAACAGAAATTCATTTTCCTTTCTAAAAAGAGAATAGACTCTACCCCCCCGGCGTTATCGGTACCCCTTTCGGGAATGTAATTCATATATGATTCTGACCACATGCCCATCCTAACTATGAAATCACAATGTCCCAGGCCAGCTGGTATCCCCCCTGAGGTTCCCTTGTAAAAAACACTATGCGGTGACATTTTTTGTTCTAACATAACACGTTTTCACAGATCCCTTGCACAAAAATTGACGAAGTGCACCCGCGCGCGTCGTCGCGCGCGCATGCCGAAATCCTTCAAAACCTTCGGTGTCGGAAGGATTTGGCAATCGAGTTACCAAAACACATACAAAAACACAGGGTTTCGCAACGCTGATGTGCTAAAAAAGCTTACGCGCGAGCCCTTGCGAAATCTTAAGAAAACTGAAGGTTTTCGAGATTTCCACAAAATGCTGCCAAACGGACTTCGCGCGCGCTCATGTCGAAATCTGTCGAACGTCCTTGCGCGTGTGCCGTCGCGAGAGTCCTCTGCAAAAAATGAGACGAAGTGCAGACGCGCGCGTATGCTGAAATCCTTCAAAACCCATCGGCTTCGGAAGGATTTCAACACCGTGTGTCCAAAACCCCTACAAAAACGCAAGGTTTCGCAACACGGATTTTCAACAACAGCGTGCGCGCTCGCTCTTGCGTCGTCGTCGTCGTTGTCGTCGCCGTCCCTCCTCCCGCGTCGTCGTCGTCGTCATCGCCTACGTCGTCCTCTGTCTTTCCTCGTGTTCGTCGTCGTCGTCCTCTTTGGCGTCGTGGTCGTTTCCGTCGTCGTTGTCGCCGTGGTCGTCCTTCCTCCTCCTCCCTCGTCGTTGTCGTCGTCGTCCGTCGTCGGCGTCTCGTCGTTGTCCCTCTTATTTCGTCGCCGTCGTCGTCGTCGTTGTCGTCGTTGTCGTCGCCGTCTTCCCTACTCCCTCGTCGTCGGCGACGCCGTCCTTCCTCCTTCTTCGTCGTTGGCATCGTCGCTGTCCTCCCTCCTCCCTCGTCGTTGTCGTCGTTGTCGTCGTTGTCGCCGCCGTCGTCCTCACTCCTCCCTCGTCGTCGTCTTCGTTGGCGACGTCGTCGTCGTCTTCGTCGTCGGCGTCGGCGTCGTCGTCGTCGTTGTCATCGTCGTCGTCGACGTCGGCGTCGTCGTCGTCGCCGTCGTCGTCGTCGTCGTCGTCGTCAGCGTTGGTGTCGTTGCCAAGTGCCATTCGGTACTTACCGTGACGGTCTCAAGAGGTTTTGCAAACCAAGTTGCGGGTGGGTTGGTGGGTGGGATGTTTGCAAGATCATGGGATGTGTCAAATCATGGGTAAAAATCAATTGCACCCCATAGATTGCACCATGTACGTAGATTATGCCAGCCGGCCGCTCTGTGGTTGATCTGGAGGTTCTGTATGTAGACGAACGGTCGTGGGTTTGTGGGCGAGAGGAGAAGTAGCGGGAGGCGGTAGCACCCAGGTCCTCCCGTTCCCGTGCTGGCAACCTCCACCTTCCTTTCCACACATCCTCCCAGGAAGTCACGTGGGGTCCCCGCAGGTCGTTCCTCCTCCGCCTCCTCCCCCACTTCCCCCAACTCCTCCCCTCCTCCTCCTCCTCCTCCTCCTCGTCCTCCTCCTCCCTCCTTCTCCTCCCTCCTTCTCCCCTCCTCCGTCCTCCTACGTCCATCTCCCTGCTCCTCCTCGTCGTCGTCATCGGGGGCCTCCCTGGGGCGGAGAGTTGGCGACTTTGCGAGGGTGTTTCGAGCAGCAGCCCCAGATTGGGACATGCCCCGGCCGACAGGTGCGAGGATGTCTCGAGCGAGAGCCCCCGCAACCCGGGACGCGCCCCGTGCACCCCCACGGCACCCGCCGGCAGATGCCGGGAGAGCGCCCCTGCCCTGCGGGGGCGCAGCGGGGCCCGGCTTTTGCGCGCGGGGGGGTTCGACTTTGGGAGGATGTCTCGAGCGCGAGCCCCAGATTTCGCAGGCCTCGAGGTTGACACCAACACCAACATCGGCGGCGTGCCTCCACCGAGGGAAGAGGACCCCGGTCTCGGTGGTGGTGGTGATACTCTGGCTTCCAGGGTGGCCGATATATTTCCACCAACACCGAAATCTAGGATCATCTTCCCCCCCTGAGGAGGCAACCCCCTGTGTTGGTGTTGGTGCCAATTCCCAGGCCTCCAAAGATTGGGACACGCCTGGTGCGCCCCGTTGTCCCCAGGCGCGCCCCGGCGCGCGTCTGAATGTTTGGGGAGGCCCCGTGAGCCGGGTTTCTGAGATGTCCCACGCGAGGGCGCCGATTGAGAATTCGTCGCTGGATTTCCTTGAGACGGAGCCGGGAGGAGGTTCGAGAGGCCCGGGAAGGTAGTGGTCTTCTGAGCATGTCCCACGTGAGGGCGCCAGTTTGAAATTCGTTGCAAGATTTCCTGGATTTCTTGGAATTGGGGAGGCTCGGTGAGCCGGGTTTCTGAGATGTCCCACCCGAGGGCGCCGGTTGAGAATTCGTCGCCAGACGAAACAAGCTGGACGGAACAAGGGTGCCCCTGAGGGGCTGCGTGGGTTTGGGGAGGCTCGGGGGGCCCGTTTTTGGAGGATGTCCCACGCGAGGGCGCCGGTGTGGAATTCGTCGCCAGATTTTCCGGAAACGGAGCAGGGAGCCCTTGTCCTTGGGGGGGAGGCCGTTTTTCTGAGGGTGTCCCACGCGAGGTAGCCAGTGTTGAATTCGTCGTTGGATATCTTGGAAACGAAAGTGGGGGGCCGTTGGCGGCCCCATTCCCTGGCGCGCCAGGGGTCAGGGTGATGTGAGTTCTCAGGGCAAGCTCCCTCAAATCACGTAGATTTTATCACTCAGATTAGACGAAGTAGATTGAACCACGTAGCTTGCACCACTAGGGCACACTGTGTGGGGTCCAGGATAGCTAACATTAATTTATGTTGAGTTTATCCGATCGTCGTTGTCGCTGCCGCCACGGTCGTTGTCTTGTTCGTTGTCGATGTCCTCTCATATCCTCTTCTCCTTCTCCTCATCCTCCTCTCTTCCCCCAGTAGAGAGGGGGGAGATGAGCAGGAGGGGACACGAGAGGAGATGGGGGTTCGCCTTGATCTTCCCACCACTCCCATTTCAGCTCACATAGGCTGCAGCCAGTTTTCCGAATAGTGCGATCTCGTGATTCGGAGCCGCTTTGTGATCGCGCGCTTGCAACTTGTTCAGCGAGGAAGGGTTGCTACGGTGCGGAAAGTAATCAGTCCTATATTTCTTGAGTTGATTGACCCTTTCATTCGGATGGTCGCGCCACCCTCTTCGCCTCCTGGCATCATGGCACAATCAACAGGCTGTACCATGCTCTCGCTGTAGGTGGATTGTGCACAAGGCCGGTTTGTGCCTTCCGTGCGCACGATTGGGCAAGTTGCCCGAGGATATCCAAATTGTTTCGCTCAGTCTGTAGGTCCCGCGTCGTGTGAGCGAGATAGGGCATCTTCAGCTGCCTTGGTCTCGTTCAGGTTTTGGTTCTGGCAAGGTTGGTTGGGGACGCTCGCAACATCAGGAGACCATTTTGGGAACATCTCAGCTCAGGGCCATCTTCCACCGGGGACCTCTAACATCGATGCCATATTGAGCAAGATTGGGACCAACATGCGACATTGGAAGTGGCGTCTTGTGGCAAAATTTGGACCACTCGGGCACAAAACATTGCACTGTTGAGCCAATGTATGGATCTGTTGCGCGAACCCGATCTTCGAGGCCGCACCAGAGGTGCTAGGAAGCACACGAGAAGAGATATGGTTGTGCAGCGTAAGATACACAATAAGCACAAAAGAGCGATCGTTCCCTCACGTGCAGACTGCGCTATCGTACCCGAGGGACGCGCCAGGCTTGCAAGATAAGCGCCCGCTTTGCTATGGCCACTCCGCAGACCGCCAACGGCGGCCCCGCCTGCAGCTCGGGAAGCAGCGGGGGGAAAATCCGTCAGTTTAGACGGCATGGGAACGAGTCTGCTGAACACGCTCGTGCCGACTTCAAGCGAGACATTGCTGAGACCGTCGGCCTCTCGGAGGTGGGCAGAAGCCCCAACAGTGACACGTCGATTAGTGAATTGTCCGTTTTCGGTTCTCGAGATGGCGCCGTGGCCGTTATTTTCCAGGCTTGCGCCCGCCAGGTTCGGGCCTCAGGTCGTTTTCACTAAAACACGTTTTACTAAAGGGGGGTCTGTCCATCCCCGATTTTCGGTGGACTCCCCGGGGTGCGCCACTTCCAGCGAGCTCAAGCGCAGGAAGTCTTGAGAGGCTTTGGGACAGTTTGGGGGGCCCTAGCAGGCACACGGAGGCACTGGCAAGTTTGAGAGGCGAGCCGGCTACTGGCGCGGAGCGATTGTCATCAACGGTCATGCGCCTAGTGGTTTGCAGTGGCGTACTGATGCAAAGGAACCCAAGGAGCTGCACGCAGCTATGTAATCCCACTGTCATCGTGCCCTCTCATTGGGGGCGGCACATACAGTGGCATAACATGGGTTGGACAGATTGCCAACGCGGCTGGCGAGTGTACAGCCGGCCTTTACGACGAGTAGGCGCATCGGAGAGTGTTGGGTGACTCAGGCAGGTCCGATGTTCGCGTTCCATAGCCCTGGGAGTAATGACCTCTGCGGGAAACCTCTTGATGTGCACGTCCATCATCCTTGTTTCTATAGCCCCGGTTCGGGCTTTCTGCGGTGCCTCACGGTTGCGGCAGCTGCGGTGGTAGCAGCGTCTGACTAGAGGAGGAGGACGACCGGGATGAGGAGGAGGAGGAGGAGAAGAACGAGGAGGAGGAGGAGGAGGAGGAGGAGGAGGAGGAGAGGAGGAGGAGGAGAAGGATGATGACGAGGAGGAGGCGGAGGAGGAGGAGGAGGAGGCGGAGGAGGGGAAGGAGGAAGAGGAGGAGGAGGACGAGGAGGACGAGGAGGACGAGGGCGAGGACGAGGAGGAGGAGGAGGAGGAGGAGGAGAGGGAGGGAGGAGGAGGAGGAGGAGGAGGAGGAGGAGGAGGAGGAGGAGGAGGAGGAGGAGGAGGAGGGGGAGGAGGAGGAGGAGGAGGAGGGAGGAGGAGGAGGAGGAGGAGGAGGAGGAGGAGGAGGAGGAGGAGGAGGAGGAGGAGGAAGAGGAGGGGGAGGAGGAGGAGGAGGAGGAGGAGGAGGAGGAGGAGGAGGAGGAGGAGGAGGAGGAGGACGAGGGCGAGGACGAGGAGGAGGAGGAGGAGGAGGAAGAAGAGGAAAGGAGGAGGAGGAGGAGGAGGAGGTGGAGTAGGGGGAGGAGGAGGAGGTGGAGGAGGAGGAGGAGGAGGAGGAGGAGGAGGAGGAAGAGGAGGAGAGGGAGTAGGAGGAAGAGGATGTGGAGCAGCAGGTGGAAGGGGGTGGCCGTGGGCTCCGTCGACCGAAGCCCGCGTCCCTTCCGCGAACAGCCGGGTCCGATTTCCGGCGCCCCCAGGCGGAGGGGCCCACGGCAGCCTGGGCGCTTGGCGCTTGGCTCAGCTGGGCAATGGGCCTCGTGGCCTGGCCCTGGCCGGGGAGGGGAACGAGGAGGCGCCAAGGGCCACGCGGGGGGGGGGGGCGAGGAGGAGGAGTTACGGAGTTACGGGTATGGCGACTGTGTCGGTTACGAATGGAAGCAGATTAAACCCGTCGCTTCCTGGCTCTTCTGGCCTGTTCCCTCTTGCTGTAAACCTTAGGCCACAGACCCTGGAGAATACGCTTACGATAATCGATTCGATTACCGTCGAGGCGTGTACTGCATTCCTTGCCGAGCTGTGTCAGCTGTTCAGCTGCAAAACTCCCGCAAACGAAACAGAACCACAACCTCAGCCCCGTGTGATACCGAAGAGTGTGAGACCCATGAGCGTACCCCCCCATAATGTGCACCCTGCGCCCAGGAGGAGGTCTACATATGACGTCGTCCACACTAATTAGATCAAAACACGGTGAGCTCAGCCACTCGTTCTTACATGCGAGTGCGGTCGACCCCTTACATCGTGTGCAACAACGGCCGTTCTCACCGAGGTGGTGCGACGAGGCGAACATTGCACAAACACTTGCTGCTGGGGGCCGAACGACCACAGAAAATTTACGTTGCCTACGCCGAGTGCAAAAACCCTCAGCCTGTGACAAGAGCTCCTCTGCATGTATGGCCTCTAGCGTGCTCTGGAGAACGCGCATGCGTACAGCAAAAGCCATATGTTCTGCACTATGTACTCGCGCGCGTGTGCCTTCAGACAAGCGTGCAACTGCAGCTCCAGCTGCTGCGAACTCATCTGCTACTGCGTTGCCTACGATAATGTACCTAGGCGAATGTTCTCCTATCATGTGCTCAGCTCCAAGGTGAGAATTAATGAAAAGAACCGTGCAATGCAGATCTGGCTTACGAGACAACTCTTGCCCTATGCGCCACCACAGGTCGGCGTCGGGGCCCGCGGGGGAGAGCCAGCGAGATCCGTACCAGCCTGAACACACTGCGGCATTATCTGTGGTGTACATGATATGTCCTGCACTCTCGCGAACACAAACCCACAGACTATACAGTTCACCTCGAGCTACTGTCTGCCTACACCCTGGGAGAGCAGACCACGTGCCAAAATCTATGTGCATGTCATCGTCTAACGACCGAAAGAGAGCGATGCCTATACCGACGCGACGGTGGAGAGGGTGGTGCGCTTCCTTGCCTCCACTGGCGTCACCGAACAAGTATAATGGGTGTGATGCCGTTCCTCTGCCGAACCCAACAAACTCTGATCCTGCCGAGACGTGCCAAACCTCGCGATCGGGCGGGCTCTCGACAGCAACCCAAGATGATGGCAGTCGACCCCTTGTCCAGAAACACTCCTCAGCGTCGGCCTGAGCGTAGGCCTTGCTGACGTACGATTCGCTCAGCTTGTAGACTGGACTGTCTGAACGAGACTCGCAGCCCCAGGTCCTGTGGAAACTGGTCTCGAGCGCAGCTCGGCACTGTGGGCACTCTTCAGCAATCTGCTGCTTGCAACGCGTTTGCCGCCTGGTCCTGGGCCAAGAAGATCCCGTCGCTGCCGCAAGCATGAGGCCTGCCAGACGTGGCCCGCCAGGTCCTTGCTCCAATTGCTGAAGTAACTGCCTATAAGAATGATTACATATCCCGCCTTCCATTCCACTGCCGCCGAAATGTTTGGCAGCTTCAACCCACAAGTTGGTCTGAACAGAAGCTTGAAATTCTTGAAAGAAACTCTCAGGGATGTCGATGGCTGCACACCCTGTTAGACCTTGCTCATTGAAGTCCCAGCTGCACGTGCCGTCGGGGATATCCCAAGAGCTGGCCGCTGTAGGAGTCCACCCTGCATTCAGAAGGTAGGTGATGACCGTAGCCTGAGGTCCCCGAATCCTCCGACACCGCTGCGCCGGCGGGAGGACCGCCAACTCCCGAACGATGTCCGTCCAGGTGCGGTTCGCTCCAGCTCGGAGATGTGCCTCACACCCACGTGGTCAGCCACATCCTCAGCGTGTCCAGTGGGAGCCTGTAGGCAGGATCCCTCAGCGGCGTCTTGAGGTCGAGGAGCGTGGTGACGCACCTGCCCGTCAACCTCGGGGCTGACGCGTTGGCAAGTTGCCTCCTCACCGACGCCATCTGGCCCCCGAAGACGCCGCGGAGATGATGGGCGTAGAGCCCCGCAGGAGCCGCTCCTTGCTGCTCGAGGCGACGGGTAACGCGATATCGCCGAAGTGTGCGAGCATACCGAGTGATCTTGACCGACATCGCATAGTGCTTGACGGCACGTGACCTTCGTGTTGCTCGACCCTGCCTGCGGCCTCCACTCAAATCAGCACCAAGGTAGGGAGATTGGCTGGCGGACTTGAGCTTGTACCCGCGAGCTGCAACTCTACGAGTGATGATGCGGGCATCATCGATGTGGTTGCAGATCACGACGCTCTTGGGAGAGATCTTCAGCCCTGCAGACTCCATGTTCTGACAAGTGTCGAGGAGGCATCTGATCATCTGCCGTCGCATCTCAAGTCTAGAACCACGAGCAACTTGCGACAGATCGTCCACCCACAAACGATGTGACATGTTCACATGAGCGGTGGTGATCCTGGACATAATAAAATGTGTGGCGCATTTACCGAACCTCGTTCCTGCCCTCAGCCCCTGCACAATGGAGCGCGTCGGGCAAAATGGGGGCCCGTATGCACCTGATTGGCGAACGCACCTCACAGCCATGCATTGCTGAAGTTCAAGTCCTAGAATCTCTGCGGGGAAATCCAAGCGAAGAGCAGCTGCAGCGATGCGATGCCAACCCGCACTGTCGTAAAATTGAGCTATATCACATAAGCCATGCCCGTGCGCAACTCCCAGTCGCCCAGCCAGTTCTTCGTCGACAGCCCGAAGAAAAACTTCCCGAACAGCTGAGTTGCCGCGCGCTGCGGCATCCCAGTGCGACTCGCACTCGTCCGTCCATGTTTTCACAAAACCTTCTCGTGATTGTGACCGCATCCTCGCGAAATGCGAGAGGAGCCCTATAACTCGGTCTCCATTGCTCTTCTTTGGTAATAATGTGCCGATGGTGATCAAAATCTGTTGTGGCCACACTTGATGTTGTTCACATAGTGTGAGCAGTGCAGCCAATTCGGCCAGCGCTATGTCTGGCAGGCGATCCACATCCAAAGAGCACAGCCGATCAACACCCATCGCCGAGGAGGGCTTCATACGTCGAAGCGCTGCACGAAGGTCGGCGACCTCGATGGGCGGCAGTGCCTCTTCCTGGACGCGGCGCCTGATGACGCCAAAGAGGTCAAGCAGCTGCTCATGGTCCTCCCCCTGTGGGGCCCACAACTCACGCCACTGCTGGGTTTTATAATCGAGCACGTCTCTCGGACGGATGGGTGTTCGATTACCAACTTCGACTGAATCGGGAACTAGAGGCGAGGACCTCATAGCCTTGTGCAGAGCGCTGACAGCTGGTGCCGACTCGGCCCAGTCACGAAAGGAAGAAATATATCGATGTATTGCTCGTTGCTGACTCCGCTTGGCAAGCTTGTTGGCGAAGTCGCAACCACTCGATAAGTCTGCCTCGGAGGGATCGCCTGACACCACCACCTGCAGAAACGACTTCCACTGTGACCAGGTGTGGGGGTCCCGCCTCCGAAGCACTCGATGCGCCTCCTCAGGAATGACCCTTTGGAGCGCGCCGATAGCCTGGATGAGGATGCCCTGCTGCTTGCAACCGTTGCCCCGACGACGGTGTTGGAGCAGAGCCGAAAGTGCGGTAACCAGCCGTGTCCACCAGCCACAAACCTTGTCGTGTAGTGGTTCCAGCCTCTGAGCCGTCGACTGCTGCACCGTGCCGATGCGAAACCTCGTCGCTTGCCCTCGCGACAAGGATGGAGTGGCCTGCTGGTGGTGGGCGTGGACTGCCTCTTCCACCGTGCGGACCCAGCTACAATAAAGTGCACTGATGTGTGGGGCTGCCGAATCCTGGGGCCCGAGCCAAAAAGCTACGGACTTGGCAACAGCATCAGCAGGCAAGCAGGCAGCACTCGGGACGAACCCGACGTTTTTCCTCGCTTGCACCCAGGTTTCACCGCTGACTGAAAACTCTACGGGGGACCCTGAGCTCACCGATTGAGACAACACCTCCGATGCGTGAGACCCGTGGGCCTCTCCATCTGTAGGGCTGGGTGCTGTGCTCGGGGGGGGGCTCGGTCTCCTGAGGCTGAGGTGCGGCTGCGTGAGACTCGACTGTGAGAGAGGCGTGCAAGACAGGAGCAGGCGGGGCCGCGGGCGGCGCAACAGTGGTGAAGTTGCTCTCGCCAGCCCACGGGTCGTACTCGGAGATGTTGTCCCAATCAGCGGCGCGATGGTAGCTGGAGGCCTCCGAGGCCTTGTCGGTCTCGTCGTCTGTACCCTCCTGGCTCTCATCACCTTCCTGCCGACGGGACTCTAAACTCTCTCCGAACCATTCTCGAATTTTCGCATGCCTCTTCTGACGAGCAGCCTGCCTAGCGATATCCCTCTTGGCCTTATTTACACTAGACTTGGACCCCTCGACCGCCTGCTTCGACGGCCTGGAGACTCGGGGAGGCCTCGGGGGGAGCTCGAGAAAGCGGGTGAAAAGTTGACTGCCAGTCGACACTAACTCGATGCACAATCCGATGTGTGGTTTCCATGGGACGGCGCAAACAGCAGTGACAGCCCGAATGTACGCCCTAGCTGAAGGACATACCACCAGATAGTCGAGGTGAGACGGTTTCTGATCTCCCCAGGGGTGCAAGTGAAATCGGCATTGCTACACAAAATCAGCCCCCCAGTGCGCTCCAGAAAGCCGGTTTTTACCAGGGCGCTGGGGCTAAAATTCAAATCTGCTGCAATGACCCAGGGCAACTGCAGACTGGCGACTAAACTGGCAAGCTTACGAAACCTTGAAACATTCTGATCCCGAAAACCTATAGACGAGTGTCCGTAGAACACGATATATACCAGGGAGAACCCTTTTAGGTGCAG